AGAGTGTGAGTGTGTGCGAGTACGAGTGCGAGTGCGAGTGCGTGTGTGTGTGTGTGTGTGTGTGTGTGTGTGTGTGAGTGTGAGTGTGAGTGGGCGTGGGTGTGTGTGTGCTCCAGGAATCACCTCCTCCTTTCGTGCTGCCCAGACTGGCTGAACTCTCAGACTGAGAGCTGCTGGCCGCCTCTCCATCTGATCCACATTTCACCTGCTTCTCTTTCTCTGAAAACATAGGTTTAAAAGCAGAAATGTCAAGCTTGTATTGTTAATTTGCTTCCATTAAACAGTCACTAAAAACATGTTCTTTATTTGAGCTTTCAAAATTCTTTTAAGTCTAATCATTTTTTAAATCTTTCTTTTAGTGCAATAATTTTGCAAAAAAAACAAAGATACATAGAAAATGTTCTTCTTGAAACTTCAATTCAAATACTTTCAAATATATGCATATTTAAATGTTTAAATTTAAATGTTTCAAAATTTAAATTTAAAAAGTTTTTATAAAGAATGAGGTCAGCGAGTATAAATGTGCACCAGGTCCAGGAGAAACCAGCCCTAAATGTACATTTGAATATTTAACAGATGTAGCATAAAACTATGCCGTGGCCTTGATATCTGCCTGAATGAATGAAATGGAAATGAAACACCCTAAAACACGATCAAAGCACCGGATGCTCAAACAGCCTCCTTCATGAGGAAGTGTATATACTGCTCTCACATACTGTCTAGCGCTCTATGACTAAAGAGGGAAGTCAGGAGGGTGGTGAAGTTCTCAGTATCATAATGGTGTTTCTGGTTCTTCTCTTTTCTCTACTTGTGGATTATTGTGATGTTTTATCAACTTTTTGGACTCTCGTTCTGACGGCACCCATTCACTGCAGAGGATCCATTGCTGAGCAAGTGATGGAATGCTAAATTCCTCCAAATATGTTCTGATGAAGAAACAAACTCATTTACATCTTGGATGGCCTGTGGCTGAGTATATTTTCAGCAAATGTTCATTTTTGGGTGAACTCTTTCTTGAATTCACTTCTGAACATCAGAAGGTGGTGATTGGAATTACCAAACTTATAAAAACATGTTCTGCCTTTCCTTCCTTGCTCTCATCACATGTATCACTCTTGAATAAAAACATTTAACACAACGGGATGCACAGACAGCACTTTTCAGAGCCATCAAAACACAATGGAAATATAACTGTCAGTTGTTTATATTTTAGACCCTGCAGTAAAACCCAATGAGATGGAGAGAAAAGTCTGAGTTCTGCCAGATGAACAGATCCTGCAACAAACTGCCAGGTGCAGAGAGATGAAATGAGTAAATCTCTACAGGCCTCAGGACACACACACACACACACACACACACACACACACACACACACACACGCGCAGGCATGTTCAAACGCAGTAAATTACATATATGTTCTGCTGATCTGTACCACTGGACCTGCTCTATTCTCAATGCACAAAAATCTCTTTCTTGTCCTCCATCCCTGCATGAAATAAAGAAAATATACAGTCCCTTAAAAGCTCATTATTCTACAAGACAATGCCTTTTTAAAGTCATAAATACATAGTGACAGGATTGGGGGCGATATAGATTCAAAAACAGTAATATCTTGATATTTTCAGCCTTTTTGCAATATTCAAAATTCTCCAAAAATATGTGCTGTGAAACGGCTTTAAAAGAGTTTTTGTCGTTGTTGTTGCCAATTAAATTCAAAATGTATAATGCAAAAAGTAAACAGTAAAAAAAAAACATTTAATATTATTTTAAAAAGGAAGGATCAAAACAGATGAATCTCGATCATCAAAATTAACTAATAGTGTAAGTCTGAGGTGGAGCTATTGGCTAATATGACCAATGGCAGATGTAAGTGTTTCAGAAACCTGTTTGGAAACAGTCATTATTTTTGGACTTGTGTTTGGTGTCGCTAGTGGTGTGGAAATTACACACTTCAGCTTTAAGTAGGACACATGTGAATTTGTGCTCCACAGCCCATAACAAAGAGAGAAAGAGTCAGAAAGAATGATAAACAAGAGCTGTGCTGGGATGGCTGAAGTTGTGTATCGTACCTTCTTTAGCAGTCTGCCAAAACTCAAACGCCACACGGAAAGCCTGAGCCACCGTTAATGTCACCGCCTGAGCCTGAGACAGATGGAGAAAAAGGAAGAGAGGTGTCAGCGCCACATTTCTTGTCATGGATAGAAAGACAGCGCATTGGTTTCTGTCTCTCTCTCTCTCTCTCTCTCTCTCTCTCTCTCTCTCAGAGGAAGTGTGGTCTTAATGTATAATGCTATTTATAGACTGAAGGAAAGACAAGGAGTGTTTCTGACCCACAGACACATGAACACACACTCACCACTTTCCTCTTGGTGCAGAGGTACGCGTGACACTCCAGCGTTTCATTGCGTTGACTCTGAGCGATGTAGGCGAACACTTTATCATGCATCTTATCAGCCGTGCAGTATGATATCCTACAGACAACAAACAACATATGAGCAAAATCATTCTAAAGACAACCTATGTAAAAGTACAGTAAAAAGTTCCTGAACAGTTATTCTTTTGTACACTACCACTCAAAAGTCAATAAACATTTTTTTAAGAAATTAATACTTTTATTCAGCAAGGATGCATTAAATTTATCAACACTGACAGCAAAAATGTTACAGAAGTCTAATATTTCAAATAAATGCTGTTCTTTGAACTTTCTATTCTTTAAAAACTCCTGAAAAAATGTATTACGGTTTCCAGAAAAATACGAAGCAGCACAACTGTTTTCAACATTGATAATAATAATAATAATGTTTCTTGAGCAGCAAATCAGCATATTAGAATGATTTCTGAAGGATCATGTGACACTGAAGACTGGAGTAATGATGCTGAAAATTCAGCTTTGATCACAGGAATAAATTGCATTTTAAAATATATTAAAATAATACATTTTAAATATAGAAAACAATTTTAAAATAAAATAGAATATTAAAATAGAAAACAGTTATTTTAAATGGTTATATTATTGGCAGCGGCTATTTGCACTAAGTGAAAATAGCATATGTTCTTAGCGATAGATGCTATTTACACTAAGTACAAATAGCAATGGATTCTATTTACACTGTTAAAATAACATGATTTTCTGCTATTTATACTACTTATTGCAAATAGTGGCAATTATCTGCACCTCAGTATTATAGTACATTATAAAACAGTATGCAGTAATAATGTATCGAGTGTTTTAATTCAATAATATATCCATTTTAATTTTAAAATATAATTATATAATTTTAATTCAAATTATTAAATGGATGCCACCTTATTGGGACAATAAAGCCCTCCCTACGCCTATCTTAACCCTACCCGATACTTTATTTTCAACTTTTTGATTATTTCCTTCATTTTTATTGAAAATAAATACCTTACCGATGTGATATGAGATTTGAAAAGGGAGGGAGAAACGTTCGGTAAAAGGCGAACGCGTCAAAAAGACTACAGTACGTGCTTTACCATCTATACCACTGAAGCGGAGGACTGTCAGCCGTCTTTTATAGTGTTGACCATCCCTATCACACATTTGTGGGTGGAGCTAGTGTAAATAGCCTCTGCCAACAAGGCGGGCTATTTGCACTTAATGTAAATAGACACTCCGTATATTATTTCACAATATTATTGTGTTTACCATATTTTTAGTCAAATAAATGCATCCTTGGTGAGCAACATTAAAAAAAAATCTTTAAAAAAATTAAAATTAAAAAATACAGTCCCAAAACATTTTGAACTTTTAAACCTTTTTACGATACATACGTTGGTTTCAAATATCTGAGACCACTAGTGAAAATACTATTTTTCATTATGAGCATAATGAGTGAAAAGAGTATTTGGTCTGTTTTTTTTTTGCTGTAATTACAGCAGCACATGAACAAAACCTGCTGATTATGTTCTCCAGCATGATCTGAGATGTTTCAAAGAGCACCTTGAGCTTCATCAGGAGCATGAACTGGAAGTGAAGTAGTTCACATTATCAGTAACACATTTTTTCTTTCATTTGGTCAGTGACCTAAATCCTAAAACTTTCTGTTTATCTCCCAGTTTAAATGAAATCGGGGAAATAATCCCAGACGGTCTCAGATTGGTCTCTATCCAGCAAAACACACCCACTGTCCATTATCCACAGCTAAATCACTTCCACACACACTCGTGTATAACAAACCATCACGTCACCTCCTCTGAGATTTATAATAAAAAAATTTTAAAAAAACGTGTACAAGCAGTGCCGAGTCCTCCATATTCAACACTCCATCAGCAGTTTGACAGAAAGCTGACCCACCAAACCATAACACACACCCACACACACACACACAGAGAGACACGTGGGAGAGTTGGACTTTGACTGCATCGTCTCTGGCATCCTGTTGACATCATTGTAATGTGCAGTAAACTCATGAACTCCTCCAGTGCTGATTTCTCCCCTCTGCCCTAAGTGACACCTGGCTCAGCCTATCAGAGGCCTCACAGCAACAGGGGCGGGACTAATGATGGATGACCACCATCTGTCCTGTCTCACATTTAAAAATTCACACACATACTCTACTTACAGACACTTATGAAAACTTTCTCTGCCTCACACACACTTCTGTCTGATGAGGACCAGAGTAGTTTATCCTAATTAAAAAAAAAAAAAAAAAGTATTAGTAATTTCACAAAATTATTACATTAACATAGAATTTTTTTTTATTTTGTCTGCACACATTACATTAGAATTTGAGAGAAAATGTGCTTATTTGTCATGAAAATAATATCACAGTGCAAAAAATGTTAATGGATCTTCACAGGCTTCATTTTCATTTCTTCATTTTCATTTTCAGAACATATTTTCTGAGTTTTTTTTCTTTTTGATTTTAGGGTGAATTGAAACCTGGACCTGTTTTCATTAGAACTAGCCACATAATTGGAGCATTGCTGGTGTAATTGGTGTGGAGAGACCGGCTGGGCGACACCTCGCTCATGTTTATTCATCACACACACCACAGACGGCGTCTGAGCGCACTGAGCGTGTGCGAGCTTCCAATAATAGCTGCGGTCCCAGATGAGGGTCAGAGACACTAAAACAGATCGATAGAGGATCCTGACACAAACACCTCTCGCTCCCTCTGTCTGTATGAACAGAGTAATCTTCAGGTCGCACCGCTCGGAATGATGGATGGCAGGATTTCAGGGGGCAACAACAACTCCTTTCTTTTTTATTGCAAGAGAGATGGGGTAGACTATCGAAAACCAGTTCTCATTCAGAACTAGATCTGTTTTTAAGTCAATACTGTAACTGGTTTCTGATTTTCATGACAGTTGTTCCTTGAACGTCTCCATTCGTTCACATTTAAATTTAAATACACATATTCATATATATAATATAAATAAAAAATTGTATTGATACAATTTTTTTAACACACACACACACACACACACATATTCCATCCCTAGAGACAGACAGCACAGACAAATAAACTCACCTGTATATGGACACATTCTCTATTAGCTGGTTTGATACACTGTCGTAGAGAACAATCCCTCGAGGAGAAACCTTCAGCGTCACCTTCTGAAGCTTCTTCCCACCAGCTTTAGCCTGAGAGAGAGAGAGAGAAACAGAAAAAATGGCTTTATCAAGCAGTTCCTACTCAAGCCATCAGAGCCAATTTTGAAGGCTTTTACAAAAGAGCTTATTGTTTTTTTCAGCATCTTGTGCAATGAGCAGCATGTTTTAAAATATCTAAAATAAATAGAAAAAAAAAAATTTAAATAAATAAAATATAAATATTAGAAGGAAAAAAACATTAGTTACTTATTAGAAATGTTTAAACATTTCTAATGTTAAAATGTTAAAGCAAAATATAAATATTACATATTATAAAATGACAAAAGCACAAACAAAACTACTAACTAAAGTTAAAATAAAAACTGAAATGTCAAAATAAAGGTCAATTCAAAATATTGATAGATATTATAACAGTATATTATCAATCAATCAATTATGTTTATTTCGGTCCTTACAGATGACTTTTCACAAAAAATAAAAAATGCACATAATTTCCGAAAAAGGTGTAGGCAGAAGCCTTGCTTATTAAGCCTACACTTTATACATATTTAACCGATGTACGTCACTTTTCACTAGATTTGATAATACAAGATAAACAAAAGTTACATAATAAATTTCCCAAAATGTACATTCTTAATTACAAACATACATAACTACAGAAATACACATTCCATTACTTCAATATGTTAAATAATACTTACACAATTTATTGAGAATGTATCACACATTTGTGGGTGGAGCTAGTGTAAATAGCCTCTGCCAACAAGGCGGGCTATTTGCACTTAATGTAAATAGACACTCCGTATATTATTTCACAATATTATTGTGTTTACCATATTTTTAGTCAAATAAATGCATCCTTGGTGAGCAACATTAAAAAAAAATCTTTAAAAAAATTAAAATTAAAAAATACAGTCCCAAAACATTTTGAACTTTTAAACCTTTTTACGATACATACGTTGGTTTCAAATATCTGAGACCACTAGTGAAAATACTATTTTTCATTATGAGCATAATGAGTGAAAAGAGTATTTGGTCTGTTTTTTTTTTGCTGTAATTACAGCAGCACATGAACAAAACCTGCTGATTATGTTCTCCAGCATGATCTGAGATGTTTCAAAGAGCACCTTGAGCTTCATCAGGAGCATGAACTGGAAGTGAAGTAGTTCACATTATCAGTAACACATTTTTTCTTTCATTTGGTCAGTGACCTAAATCCTAAAACTTTCTGTTTATCTCCCAGTTTAAATGAAATCGGGGAAATAATCCCAGACGGTCTCAGATTGGTCTCTATCCAGCAAAACACACCCACTGTCCATTATCCACAGCTAAATCACTTCCACACACACTCGTGTATAACAAACCATCACGTCACCTCCTCTGAGATTTATAATAAAAAATTTTTAAAAAAACGTGTACAAGCAGTGCCGAGTCCTCCATATTCAACACTCCATCAGCAGTTTGACAGAAAGCTGACCCACCAAACCATAACACACACCCACACACACACACACAGAGAGACACGTGGGAGAGTTGGACTTTGACTGCATCGTCTCTGGCATCCTGTTGACATCATTGTAATGTGCAGTAAACTCATGAACTCCTCCAGTGCTGATTTCTCCCCTCTGCCCTAAGTGACACCTGGCTCAGCCTATCAGAGGCCTCACAGCAACAGGGGCGGGACTAATGATGGATGACCACCATCTGTCCTGTCTCACATTTAAAAATTCACACACATACTCTACTTACAGACACTTATGAAAACTTTCTCTGCCTCACACACACTTCTGTCTGATGAGGACCAGAGTAGTTTATCCTAATTAAAAAAAAAAAAAAAAAGTATAATACACTACTGGTCTAAAGTTTGGAATAATTAAGATTTTTTTTTAATGTTTTTTTTTTTTTTTTTTTTAAAGGTTGTATTTACTTAATTGAAAATACAGTAAAACAGTAATATTGTGAATTATTATTACAATTTTAAATAACTGTTTTCTATTTGAATATATATTTTAAAATGTAATTTATTGAGAATGAGTAATATAATTATTTAACACCATGTTTTTATACATTTTCTTAAAATTGCAAAGTGAATTACATAATTTTACACAATTTTTGCATAGATTTACCCCTTTGACAGATATACACCTATTTTTAGCATTAGTTCTTGCCCTTACTTTGTTTTAAACATATACATTCCTCTTAGTTTATTATGCTGACTTTCTCTTATTTTGAATGGGTGTATTAATATATAATAAGCAATACTAAAATAACACTGCATATAAGAAGTTGTTTAGAAAGAAATTCAATACAATTTACTAAATTAACATGACTAAATTACAGTCTTGGTCATATGAAATATGGAATACACTCTGATATCCTGAATAGAGAAAAAATCATATTATTAATCTTTAATAACCACAACAGAAAAGCAGTTTCATAAGCTATTGATTTGGTAACTGAAATGCACTAAACTACAACTCACTGATCTTAGTTCTGATATAACAAAAAAGTGTGAATTTTTATTTTTGAATAATAAAAATATTTTAAAGGAATCTAAAATACTTCATTTTACCTTTATCACCTTTATTCTACCTATATTAACTCAGGAAGTCTTTTTTTTTTTTTTGCTTCACTATTTGGCTGCAAGGAGGCTTTGCTGTTGACAGTCAAACAACTGCTTTTCAGCACCATTACTCCAGTCTTCAGTGTCACATGATCCTTCAGAAATCATTCTAATATGCTGATTTGCTGAATATATGTTTACATATATTTTGCTATATACCAATATTTTGTGGAGACCATGATACATACCATTCAAAAGTTAGGATTAAGATAAAAATTGAATTTTATTCAGCAAGAACACATTCAATTGATCAAAAGTGACAGTAAAGAACATTAATCAAAGAATCCTGAAAAAAAATGTATCACCGTTTCCACAAAAAGATTAAGCAGATTAAACATTCAACATTGATAATAACAAAAATCATAATTAATACCTGAGCACCAAACATATATACTTGGTCATATGAAATATGGAATACACTCTGATATCCTGAATAGAGAAAAAATCATATTATTAATCTTTAATAACCACAACAGAAAAGCAGTTTCATAAGCTATTGATTTGGTAACTGAAATGCACTAAACTACAACTCACTGATCTTAGTTCTGATATAACAAAAAAGTGTGAATTTTTATTTTTGAATAATAAAAATATTTTAAAGGAATCTAAAATACTTCATTTTACCTTTATCACCTTTATTCTACCTATATTAACTCAGGAAGTCTTTTTTTTTTTTTTGCTTCACTATTTGGCTGCAAGGAGGCTTTGCTGTTGACAGTCAAACAACTGCTAAACTAAAGGTAGCACTGTCATTTGTTACCTCATACATCATCTTCAGCAAGTCAATCAATCACATTTACAGTCAAAAGTAAGAGTTATCAAGTAGGAAAATTCCACATCTGGCTTTGAGTGGCTCTTAAACACACTTACAATGACTCACACACAGGCTGACACAGTCCGTTCGGTATGCAATTGATTTTTACTGCTGAATCGCAACAATCTGGAGTGTTTAATAACCTCAAAACAAGATTATATCATGACAGGATCTAGCCTGTTGAAACACACAGAACCACACCCAGAAACCCTGAGAGAGAGACACACACACACACACACCACTTGCAAAGCATAAGAGACACAATAGAGCAGTGCACATTAATTAAAGGTGTCAAACTCTACACTTTTTTTTTTTTTTGCATTTTTCCCTTACAATCTTAAAAAGAAAGTTTTTTTTTTTTATTGGCATTGATGGTTCCATGAAGAACCTTTAAAATCCATGGAACCTTCCAATTGCACAAAATGGTTTTTATTAGGGCTGCACGATAAATCGCATGCGATATGTAACGCGCATCTTATCAGTAAAGCCGGTTCTGTAATCAGCGGTAAATCTCCATCACCTGCGGGCTTTCACATTGAGCAGCATTAACTACACAGAGCCGTTGTTCACTGACGAGCTAAAACCACGTTCATATTCGCGCGATTTTTTGCGCAGCTCGTCAGTGAACAACGGCTCTGTGTAGTTAATGCTGCTCAATGTGAAAGCCCGCAGGTGATGGAGATTTACCGCTGATTACAGAACCAGCTTTACTGATAAGATGCGCATTAAATATAGCATGCGATTTATCGTGCAGCCCTAGTTTTTAATAGTAGAAAAAGGTTCTTTAGAGGATTAAAATGTTCTTCACACAAAGAAAAACGGTTATTTTAAGTACTGTTCAATGAAAGGAAACTCAAATGGCTCTTCTATGGCATCTTTGCAAAACCCCCCTTTTGGAACCTTTATTTTTCAGTGTATGGTAGTCTGGTTAAGATGACAGAAACTGAAACTCCTGGATCAATAAAGCATATTTTTAGGGCTGAAACGATTCCTCGAATACCTCGAGTAACTCGAATACAAAAAATCATAGTCCATTTACTGTAACAACACACGGAACACAGTGTTTCCCCACGGACCATTATTACTGACGCACAACCCGATAAACGCTGGACCAGACCATAGACTGTATAGACCAATTACCCACAACCTGCAAATTACCACAATAGATAAAAAACTAGATAAATAACTCCACCTGTGAGTCTCTGTCATCGGAAGCCTGCGTGTTGCCAGATGTTGAGGGGGTTCTTGCCATCATGGACCGCAAGATAGTGCTCGTTGGCTTAAAAGCAGGGCACCCTCCTGAATTCTTAAAACACTCTGAGGTGTGCACGAGCGCATTTATAATGTCTGTAATGAGCCGATTTCGTGTATGAATATAGAAACCCTATGATTACAACTACCATCATTTGAAGAGTCACAAAATTCTGAAATTATCGTACATTATGGGATTTTTTTAATTATTGATCGTACATCGTACAGAGGTCAAAACTATCGTACAAATACGATAATTATCGTACGTCTGGCAACACTGAGTGGGATAGTCTTACAGATCCGAAACAGGGATGACTTTTTTGTGGGCGGAGCCTATCTGGAGGCAGTCTATGGAGCCATGGAATAGAAGATTAAAAAAAAGGTCAATTTGATTTTATATTTCAAAATTCTGACTTTATTCTCGCAATTCCGAGATTATATCTCACAATTCTAATAAGGAAAAACAACTCGTCATTCTCTCTTTTCCCCTCGGCTCTTCTGACTTTTTTCCCTCAGATTTGACAAACTCACTATTTTATTTATATTATAAAGTCCAAATTAGGAGATATAAACTTGCATTTGCGAGAAAAATGAATAAATGTTATGTAAAAGTTAATAGTAATAGTAAGGTTTAAATAATATTTCATGCTGTAACTGTAGAGCTAATACAATACGTCCCCTATGAACAGCATATGTGAATATTATGTAGACCTATTGTTTAAATCAAATGTATGCTTTAAAAGCAGAGTAATCATAGCAGTTTTCATCCATAGTATGTCCATTTAAACGTCTGCGTTTAGCTTCAAATGGCGTCTTTGACGACAGCATTCTTTAAAAATTATTTGCATTCCGATCTTGACATCAAAAGGCACAAACATTTTTTTTTTCTTTTATTCCATGGATTTTACCCATTTACCTCCACTTGTTCCCAGTGTTTTTCTGCAACCACTATGCGCGCGCAGCTGCAAGTGACGTAACTGTGACGTCTACTCTGAATTGGTCTATAAAAACAGGGAGCAGACTTTAAAAAAAAAAAAAACGCTGGATATGGAATACTCGATTACTAAAATAATCGATAGCTACAGCCCTACATATTTTAGACCTCAGAAGAAAGTAGAATGACTACATTTTAAAAGGGCACAAGACCTTTGCCCTGTCATTCATTTCAGTCTTTCATTGGCTGGTGATGGTGTATGTTTTTCTTACTGTGGCAACGATTCTCTTGACAGCAGCGGCTGAGAGCTCTTCTCCTTTGGGTTCCTCCACCAGCGTCATGCCCAGATACTTCAGCTGAAAGACCATCCCCTCCAGCAGCGTCTCCCGCGTGTCTGTCCAGTTCTCTGGCAGCTCTGGAAAGACACACACGGGATTAACATGTAGGCATGATGCAAACATGGCCAAAAACATGGCAACACATGCTACCCACACAAACATGCTCCTTCAAATGGGTGAATCTCATGAAAACATGTCCATGCCACATTTCACTGCTAAATAAAACGAATGAAAAATAAGAAATTATATTTTGGCAGGTTTATTCGTTCAGATAATGACCGTGTGTGTGTGTGTGTGTTTCTGTGCTGATTTGTAGTGTATCAGGTGGTCAAATATATCAACAACATGTTTGAGAGTTGAGTAATTAATGATAAGAAGTTATATTTTACATACAGAAAATCAAGTTTGTTTTAGACCTTTAGGATCTTTGCATTACTTCCTGAAAATGAAACACTCAAAATTAAACAATTACCATATTGCATAATAAATTTTGGTATATTAATAATCATATAAAAACACACCAAATTAAACAATTATCATATTGCATAATATATTTGATATATATAATAATATAATAAAATATATATAATATATTTTAAAACTATTAGAGTAATATAACATTACTCTAAAAATTACTGTAATTTACTGTAACATTGAATAAATATACTGCAACACTTTTTGATTTATTTATATCTATTTGAGTAAACTATAGTGAAAATTAAATACATTCATAAAACATTGTGTATAGGGTGAAAGGGGGGGTTGACCAATATTTATTACAATATTTACATTTTAAAAACCTTTTAAACAACAATATTCACATTTTAAATGTAAACAACCATGTTTACACGTAAATTTGGGGAAGTCGTGGCCTAATGGTTAGAGAGTCGGACTCGTAACCCAAAGGTTGCGGGTTCGAGTCTCGTACCGGCAGGGATTGTAGGTGGGGGGAGTGAATGTACAGCACTCTCTCCACCTTCAATACCATGACTGAAGTGCCCTTGAGCAAGGCACCGAACCCCCAACTGCTCCCCTGGCGCCGCAGCATAAATGGCTGCCCACTGCTCCGGGTGTGTGTTCACAGTGTGTGTGTGTTCACTGCTGTGTGTGTGCACTTAGGATGGGATAAATGCAGAGCACTAATTCCTAGTATGGGTCACCATACTTGGCCACATATCACGTCACTTAAGGTATTTTAACAATTTTCTGTTTTGCATAAACTACTCAACTCTCAAACATGTTCTTGACATATTTGTGTGAATGCAAAAGAGCACAGAAACACTGAACATGCTCATTATCTGAACAAATAAGCATGTTAAATACTAAAGCAACTCAGTGAATAACAGGTGAAAACATCTGCATATGAAACACATCACACAATCCTTCATTAAAACACATAGTTTTCAATCAGGTCTTTCATCCACTGCTCTTTGATCCACACCTGCACAGGACAGGAACTCATGTCCACATTTACATGCAGCCTTATAATACTATTATGGCAGTACTGTGATTAAGTTGGAACTCATGTCAACACATAACTGTGTTCATATACATAATAACAGTAGCCATATCTTCACTCGGACTACAATGTGCTACACACACAAAAATGGGCTCTTCTTCAGCGGTTCTTTAGGGTGGTTGAAGGGAACCACTTTTACTGCTATTTAGCACCATTTTTGTTTAGAGTGTAGTGTTGCATGCATGAGTTTCAAAACATGGCAGAACTTTTGGAGTTTATGCTTATAGCTTTATGATCATATGTTTTATTTATCGGATTGATCATAAACACCTGAAAGGAGATGTTATAGACATTTCTGACAAAGTGAAAACCGGTTGCAGGACAAAAAAGCAGCAGAAATGAACAGACCTTCTGCATTTAAAAAGAACATTTTGTGTTTAGCACACGTTTCAAAAAGCAGTAAAAAAAAAATCAAATTTCTTTGTGAATAATCAAACCAATGGCAAATAGCATGTAAATGGAACTGAAGAGAACACGTTGTAACATTTCGCTCAATGCGGTGTCATTCACAATAATCAGACTATTGGTGTATAATATGTCACTGAACACACACACATACACCCCCATACTGCCCTGATCTCATACAAAGAAATGAATGAATGTGTGTTTAACCCCACATCAGCGCTGGCCTGTGTCAAAGGTCAAGGTCAGGGGTAAAGGACGCACATGAAATAGACATTTATCTGCTCCCCTCCACCGCATCTCCATTATATTACAACCTTGCTTAATCCATCTCAGCATGACAGAGAGCCAGCCAGAAAGAAAAGAAAGCAGGAAAGCATGAAAGCAAGATATAAGGAATCTGAAAAAAATAAAATTATAAAAGAACAATGAAAGAACCAAAAAAAGAAACAAATGACAAATAAATAAACAAAAGATGCAAAGAATTAAACCAACAAAAGGATGAACAAAAGAAACAAACAATCAGGAAAATGAACTAAAGAAAGAAACAAAGAATAAGCAAACAAATGAATGAAAGAGAAAATTAAATGTGACATGTTAATTCAATCTACAAGAAAACTTCATTTGTTGTGAAAGAAAGCAAGAAACAAAGAAAAAAATCATTAAGGAACAATGAAATAACTAAAAACAATGAACAAACAAACTAAAATTGAAGAAAAAAACAAACATATTGAACAAAAGTAATGAAACAGAGTAAAAGAAAAACAAATACACAAGCCAACAAAAACAAACAAAAGGAAGAACAAAAAGAAAGAAAGATAAAACAAAAGAACTAAAAAATAAACTATAAACAAATCTAAAATTCAGAACAAAGGAGTAAAAAGGAAAAACAATGAACAAAAAGCCAAGAAACAGAACAAAATAAAACAAACAAACAAATGAAACAACTAAAGAAACAAAGAATAAACAAACAATTGAAAGAGAAAGCGATATGTGACTGTGATATGTGTTAATTCAATTCTGTGTGAAAATGCTTCATTTTTGTGGCATTCTGTTTTTGTGACATTCTGGTTTGAACTATGAATATGTTAGTCAAGAGTTTGAGTGTGCATGAAATGAAAATGGATATTGATTATTGCAGATTTCATGAATCATTCATGGGTCTTTGGCTGACAGGTGGTCTCTGAAACCCCCGTCAGAGATCAAATGACAACGTCACCCCATCGTTCTGCCTATGGAAGCTAATTTTAATCCCCAAGACCTTCACAATCACTCTTCCCCACTGTGACAGATCAATGACATGAAATATATTCACATCAAAACACTACGGTTAGCAGGTCTCATCAGAGCTCTGCTGTTCATGGGGTAAAGTGGGGTTTGTAACGGTGTAAATGAAGTCGACGCCTCTGATGAAGCTCATTAAGAGTGTTTGTGTAAGCATGAGTGCCATCCGTCTCCATCAGACACAGACTGATGCTCTCATTGTGTGACAGACGTTACTTTAACCCTCAATTAAGCTTAATTATTTAACATAATTGAAGGACATTCATAGATTTAACAGTATTTCATGCCTCACTGAGATCTGAATGGGTTAATTTCTAACTTGTGTCAGCCCTCAGGCCGTTCACTGACACTATGAAGTATTTTGTACACAAAAATGGCAAGCGATGGCTAAAATCGTCAGTCAAAATCTGAATGGCTGACATATAATGTCTGATTTTTTTTTTTTAATCAGTCTGCCTGGAAACAAAGCTGTGTTTACAGGGTGCCATGCACTTATGAAAATGAAATAATCACTTTGATTTGTCAGCATTGGTGAGGTTAGTGGCGTCAAATCTCTGAACTATATTTAGAGTTTTGTTTTGAAGTGCTTAGTTTATTTAACAAAATTTCCATAAATTTCCATGAGCATATACTGTAAAAAAAAAAAATTATAAATAAAAATTGAGATGTAAATAAAACAAAGATTATCTGAGTAAGTTTTACAAGAAAATAGTATTTCAGTCCTTCTACTTTTCAACTAAATTTCATGTTTAATTCAATGCGTTATTTGCCATTTCTCTTATTATTTGTTAACTTTACTAAGTGAAAATTGCTTCAAGGTAATTCTGCTTTGTTTTTGATTTATGTCTGATTTAGTTTATGTTTTATTTAGTTGAGCCACTTTTAGTAAAACAAAAATTCAGATGACAAACATATAATAATTTCTGTTCTATATTTTTCATATTACTATTTTTTTATTAATATAGTTTATTATTGTTTATTATTATTATAATGTGACCCTGGACCACAAAACCAGTCACAAGGGTCAATTTTTCGAAATTGAGATTTATACATCATCTGAAAGCTGAATAAATAAGCTTTCCATTGATGTATGGTTTGTTAGGATCGGACAATATTCGGCCGAGATACAACTATTTGAAAATCTGGAATCTGAGGGTGCAAAAAAATCTAAATATTGAGAAAATCACCTTTAAAGTTGTCCAAATGAAGTTCTTAGCAATGCATATTACTAATCAAAAATTAAGTTTTGATATATTTACAGTAGGAAATTTACAAAATATCTTCATGGAACATGATCTTTACTTAATATCCTAATGATTTTTGGCATAAAAGAAAAATCTATAATTTTGACCCATACAATGTATTTTTGGCTATTGCTACAAATATACCCCAGTGACTTAAGACTGCTTTTGTGCTCCAGGGTCACAAATATTGTAGTTTCTGCTCACCACTATATATACACCACTATAAGTTTACCCAACTATGACGACTCTAGCTTCTGAGAACCCTGGAAATTAAACCCTATTTAACTGAATTAAATCAACACTGAACAGACTCGAGCTAATGTTTGATTTAGTTGAGCCAAATCTTTCGGCTTTTGTTTCATAATTTATGAATTTTGCAACATTAACACTGCTATTTTTTGTGATTGGTGAGGGTCGTCCTGCTCCACTGAACTTCAAAGAGTGTAAGGAATCAGAGCACATCACACACAGACACACCCAGCAGTGCCAGAGATGACAAACCGCGAGTGTGTGTGAACGACACAGAGCTGCTAGACTAATGTTTGATTTAGTTGAGCCAAATCTTTCGGCTTTTGTTTCATAATTTATGAATTTTGCAACATTAACACTGCTATTTTTTCTGTATTGT